GCCTCGTTATCCAATCACAAGCGTCCTACACACCATCTACAGTCCACCAGGTGACAGTGCAGGCTCATTAGTTTGTATATGAGTAGGTACACACGATCACTACACTCTATTGTCAGTGCCGCTAAAGGAAAATACCAGCATACTTATACTGAATTATGCTGCAAATACTGATCGCATCTAATGTGTGCAAATGTTACAATGCACCATATTTTAAGAGACGTCCATTTGAAACAATTAACATTGTTAATTGTTATTGACAGATTCTCTTTTGAAAAAATAAATATTTTCATTTAAAGAATGAAAAATTTATTTTAAGTATAGGTGACAAAAGCTTGATGAAAATAAAACAATATTCTTAATTAGCTACAAAATAAATTAAGGCAATCCTATAAAAAGTAAACAGTCCAAAATATATTGGAGAAAAAAAAGGAGCAAAAACAATGTCAAAGATGATTTATTTCTTTTTATAAAATAGCTTTAAATTAGTATTGAAACTAATCTCTCACTTAGCATGATTACATGTCATCATCATTTAATGAATTGTGTAACAGATTGTTGTAATCTCTTGCCATTTATGTTTGTGCACAATTGTACCAAATGAGCACCATCTTGAAATAATATTACATGTCAAAATATTTTTTTTAATGCTGCCCTTGAATGAACTATTTCCTCGCTTTTTTATTGCAAGCTTCATGTAACTGTAGTGGCTTTTAAAATAAACAGGGTCAGGTTATGCAATAATGTCGCTCAGTGACACTGACATGACAGGCAGAGGAGAGTTTGCCCTCTGGTTGTTTTGGTTTAGTTGTGTACGGGTGTATTCCCATAACACTTGTGTCTAAATCATCTGCAGGGCCATGATGTGAGGACTTTCAGCTTTTACTTGAATCACTTCACTGAAACAAATATAGACACACAGGAAAACATGGACAGAAACCACCCACAAAGAATCTGAGACCCATATAAAGAAATGAATACATACATCATATAAATTAAACTATAGAAATAGATGTATATATGTGTATATCTGTTAAGATTATAATGGTTATTGTATAGTGGTCCCCAATTAAAAAATCTCATCTAAATCCTGACAGTAGCACAATTATTAAAGGTTGAGATGTTAACTTCTTTTCCATCAGTATTATTATCATTCATCATTATTTAAAATTATTAATAATTGTATTACTTAATATATTATGTATTTATTTAATATTCTTCATAATTTGCTAGTGGCGGTTTGTTAGTTGGGTTTAACTCTTACCTCTAAACTGTCCATTTAGATTGGATAAAAAAATTAAGCAGATTTGCCGAGCGAACAATGAAGTTTATAATTTATGTAGTATTCAATAGCTCTTGGTGAGTTACTTGGAAAGGGGCGGCGAGCTACTGGTAGCTCGCAAATGACACGTCGGAGATCCCCGGAGTAAAACTTACGATGTCATCAACAAATAAAATCAATAAACAGGCCCAGACAAAGGCTTCGACATGCAGGCCAACTCAGAACTCATCTCTTTTAATTCCCTGGAAACACCATATATACACAACCACAATCCAGAATCAGTGTTTTTCTTTAAAAAGTTTTTTTTTTACAGAATGACATATCTACAAATGTATAGTATAATCACAGTTTGAAGATTCCATGAAACAGTGCAAGTGGGAATCATAGCACAGACAGGACGAAACAAAGATTCTTTTATACACACACACACACACACACTTCAGACCCATATAGTCACAACCGCATTGTGTTGGATTACTCATACAGAAGTGCAGCTTCATTTTGTTTCCAGGCTGTGGGTTACGTGAAGAAAAAAACAACAAACAACTCAAGACACCCTTTAGCATTCATTGGAGAACCAGGAAGTTTGCGTCAGGAAAATCCCATGCCAGCCTTGTTTGCATAAGATATAATTTGCTGAATCTGCATTTCTCTCTGGGTGAATGGGAAAAGTTGCACAAGTCTTTGCGTTACGATCGTTTTTTTAAAGGAGTGTAAAAAAACAAACAAACAGTGAGGCTCAGATGTGGAGCGGAATCGATGAATGTCTGTTATCGGGACGCGTACACAGCTAGTTTGAATGTAGTAAAAAGTACTTCAAAGACAGTACGGGAGCTGCAGCAAGCAACAGGGAGGCTTTAGGTCTGTGAGGCCTCAATCCTGGGAACTTTCATCTCCTTTCAGATAGCAAGGCATTTTTTCCCAGCCTGAGGGTGTACGGAGTGGGTATCAGTCTGTGAGCATTCATGGAGCATAAAGGAAGCCATCAGGAGCGGGGTGAAAAGGAGAAGAGGGCTTATCTTTTGTGACAGGTGCGGCAGGAAGATCAAATTAAAACCAGAAGGTCTGGCACTGAAGCACAACTTCTCCGTTTTGTTTCTGACACAACACTAAGACAGTAACATTGTCGTCAGCAGCTGCGAGGTGCCGTAGCTTACAGACAAATTTTGTTTACCACCTCTGGAGGAAAGCAGACTTAATGGACAAGCAAGTCAAAATGAGCTCAGACAGCTGGAGCACATACAAGTGGTTTAAAAAGAAGAAAAGGAAAAAGGCGAGCTAGCATGTGTTTGGATTTTCAAACGACAGCACTCTGGCCCGCTGCGAATACTTCATCTTAAAACCGTTTATGGTTTACTGGCACTTGATAGGAGTCGGAACAAACACAGACGGAAACAAACATTTCACTGACAGTAACATCATTGCACATTCACCTAGCTTTTTCTTTTTGCCTTTAGTTTTTCTGAGCTACAGCGACACAAACTTTTCCAGGAGTGATTTAACTTAAGAGCCAGTGATGCTAGAAAAAAATCTCAACATTTTTGGATTCCTCTAAAAGTAGTTGGCAAACAAATGATATTGTTAGATTATATAAACTGATGACAGTAAAGTCAGTTGGTGGTCTGTGAAATAATAAACCCAATTTGACTCAACCCCTCATCTTTTTAATCCTTTTCCCTAATCTGAAAATCAAATATCCATACTTGACCATGTGATGAAGCAGAGTGCATTTCAAGCCTAGCCTGTTCACTGACTTCACCGGAGACAGTTGTGTTTTCTGGTTCTATTTGTGAAAAATAAACACACGTAGCATCAATGTTGCCATATTCCCGTTTCCCACAAGCAGTCAACAATTCTTGTCCTAGTTTCTAACATAAAGGACGTTTTGGATGTAATAACCCACATGTTTTTGTAATAGACATGTCATCACCCCCCATTGTCATGACAACGGACATTTAATGATGCCTGCAACAGGAAGTTTTTTTTTTATATCAGAAATCCTGGGAAGAAAAATGGTAAGGTGTTTCATGGAAAATCTCATTTAAATATAACTGACATTATAACAAATTAGAAAAATAACTAATAAGAATATATTTAAATTTTGAGTAAAAAAAACAAAACAAACAGAAATAAATTAAAAAACCAAAATCAAAGAAAAAAAAGAAAATCACATAAAAATCGAAGCAATTTAATTTTAATTTTTGAACCTTTGCAGGAAAAATGGACGCTCCATTTGTCGTCTGACTGGTTTGCAGGTTCCTTTCACGTGTGGCTGCGTGAAACACATAAAACTGTGTGAGCGTAGCATTAGTCTGTCGTGGATGAGCGGCTCTGCTGATATGCAGCACCTCTTCACACCAGCCTGGTCTCTGCTGGAGCTGAGCAGATGATGAAAAAAACAGTGGCACGTGACAACCGGTCTAAACCAGCGATGATCTGTTCTCTGTCTCATAAACACTTTTTTTTTTTCTTTTGGCAAACCTGTCTCAGAAGACAAGCATAAAGAGCACAATGGGGGACATGTCCTTGATTAGTAACTGCGGAATCAGACGCGATTCGTCCAGGGATTCGTACAACAAGGTTGATTTTTTTTTCATATTTGTGTTAGTAATTTTACCTACTTTCTCTGTTCGATTTAAGCGTTACATTCAAAATGTGATGGCAGCGTCGGTCGATCACATTCGACGGCAGTCACAATTCCAGGCCTGTTGAAACAGAGCTGAGCTGTTTGGTGGCTGCAGAGGCTCACAGGAGACAGACGTCAGACAGAGGAAGATCGTTGTTGCGGGAGGAGACAGTAGCATTTGTACAACGCAGGTGAAAAGAAAAAAAAAAAAAAGTTCAAGTAAGATCAGACTGGATCCATAGAGCTCCTGGAGCCTCTTCCAGATCATCGGAACGCCTTGCTTTCTTCACATTGTGGAAAGATAAATATATGTTATTATTTTCCAGAATTGTTAAACCTTGAAAATGTGGTTTGC